CGTGCAAGCTCGTTATTCGAAGTTTTCACTTTAGCAGGGCAGCGTGATTCAATTTTAGGGAGGTAAATTGTGTTTGTTCAGTAACTATGACGGGTTTAAAAATTCATATGTATAAGCCAGGATAGGCTTATTGAGGTGACATGTGCCTTTCTAGGCCTTTGCAGAGTTGTCGTAATTGTTCAATCTCTATGATCCGTTTCATTCGAAGGCCTAGGCTCAGTGTGATAAGGAACAAAGTTGTCACTAAGCAGAGAGACGTCCGAGACAAAGCGCCAGATCACCAGAGGAGAAGATGGGAACTCTGTCATCGAATGATCAGTTCGCGGGCAGAATCACAGCCCCGACTGAAAAAGCTAGATCTCTTGAGAATGCACAAATCCTCCTAGACTGACTATGGGCTCTTGGAACCCAAGTCGAGCCTAACAAAGGCCAAGCAGCCCTAATTACAGAAATTCGATTATCCTATCCTATGTCCTTCTCCACAATCCCTGCTCCCATGGCCAGACCCCTTTCGATTTTCGCCTTTTTAGGTTCTTGACTATAAAGAATTTTGCAAACTAGTGGCCTTAAAAAGCTGTGTATGACTCACTTCTTTGACTAATAGTCCTCCTTCAGGGACGAGAGAATAGCAAAATCGCTCCCTTTTCGGATGAATGTCATAGAAAACGATGATGATTACAAAGTTTCACCCTCTGACGACGATGCGGATTTCGACGTGACGCGCCTATGGGACCACGCTCCCCTACGTTCGCGAGCGACTGGGACCCACCCATGGGTGGCACTGTCTCAGGAGAAAATTCTTTCACTGGCTCACTGAATTCAGCAATTGGTAAGAGACAAGAAAGTATGGTGGCCCCCAAACTGGGTGGCAATGTCCTATGTACCAGTCATAGTGGCATCCACCGGTGGGTGCCATTGTCGTCAAAGGGTTAATGGGTGGCGTGCTCAAATGAAACTGTGGGAGTGTTCAAAACATGCAAACGTATCAACACTTTTGCATCCACGTAATATAACAGGAGAGCAGAAATGAGCATGAGTGGTCAGTAGTTGAAGGGAAAGTAAGCGGAGGACGATTAAAATATAAGAATATAAGCTCATGGAAGCGTCGGAAAAGCCAGCATGGTGATGGGCAATATTCACGTCCTTAAAGTTCAAGAAATGGGGGTTCATTCACTTTTTTCATGAAATTGATGAGGCTGTCGTATGTACGAATGAAATAAGAAATGAAAACCAAATCGAAACATATTTAAGTGATCAAGATTATGAAATGGAAAGCAGCATTGACGGAAGAATACAAAATGGGGTTCACTAATGCAAAATCGATTTCTAAATTTACGATTGAGAAAACCCCGAAATTACATGCAACATATACGATGTTCTATATATTGATCATACACTGGAAAAATTGAGATGAAAGCCCCTGTATTTTTGCATATCCCACGAAAGCGCATGATTAATTTTTCTTTTGTGTTAACTTTTCTGTCCGTATTTGTAAGAGTATTTAGGTAACAAGGATGGTAAACCCAGCTACGTTAGGAAACATGGTCCGTGGATCGAGTTCCGGCTCCCCAGAAAAATTCTATTCCAATGGGCTGGGCTAAGCTGGGAATATCAATAGTAGGATAGGTACGTTAGGCAAATCGGTATGTCATCAGGGCAAAGAATAATACGTGTCAATCAAAAATCAGCACGAAACAGCCTTCTGGAGCACTGGTGTGATTCTTTTCTAATTCCGGAGCTGAACTGCAAAAGAATGCGTTCGCAATACTGAGCGACTGAGCCTTTCAAAAAGGGGAATTTATTAGAATCACATTCCAACTGTTTATCTCGGAAACAGGCCTGATCATAAAAGTATTCATGAAATATTTCAAATTCCATGAGTTCGTATTTTTTGAAAATATTACTGAAAAAGAATTTGCTCATGTGGACTTACATATATCAGTCATTTAAGATGGACTATTCTTGACAACTTGGGCAATTCGCAGTGCTTCACAGGGTTCTTATTAGAATATAATTGTGCTATTACTGCAGGTAAAACCGACGATGATTGCATACAGTAAGAAATGGTATACTAAATTCAGTGTTGAGCCTGGTACGGAAAATATATCTGTGATACTGAAAGGGTGCTGGACATGCTCGTCAAAACGCTCTGGCAGTTATAAGGCGTAGAAGCCTAATCACTCCACTTGGAAGGCATCGGCAAGAAGAATATCAGGGCAATGATTTGTACGTCGAATGCAAAATGCTAGCCTGTGAAAATGAGATCGACCGAGAGATTGAGTATTGAAATGTCACACATCTGCGCGAGAAATTCAAAGCCGAGCAACTGTATTGAGTGCATAGTCGCAACAGTTGGACTCCTACAGTTCATTAATTTTTCGTGAGCTCTGAGATCACATGAGATTTTATCCACCGGTCATCCTTACGGCTGCGTTATCAAGAGGTTGAAAAGCTTGGTGGACTGCTGAACGTGAGCCTAACTTCTTTTCAACAAATTGCAATGATTCCATGACTTTGCTTCCAGTAGAAATCATAATGGATAACTTTTTTGCACCAATGCATTATCTACACATAGCAATAGAATGCTGACTGCATTTCATTGGCACAGCTTCATGGCTTTACACTTACAAATAGCACAATTGTGATTTATTTTCATTTGGATGGTGTCAATTCTTCGATTTGTCAAAATTTATTTTCGCTTTTATTGTGGCGGGATGCAGAGTGCTTCCTTCCTATCACATTTGCAATTGTCGCATTCGCAGTCCTTATCTTCTTTGCACGGTTCACCTATCTCATATATCAGGGATCCGAGGTAGTTTCCTCTGAAAATCGGCTCTCAAACGAAGTGATGTAGAATTCCTTCACTGCAGGAGAAAGCTTACGCTCGAGCATATTCGCATCCCACTAAAGTCATGTCTTCACACCAAACAACTGCGCAACCGACTTTCTTGCTCCACTGCCAGACTACCTAAAACGATGCATAACTCCCCTCAATTGG